GATATTGCCATATCTGAATAATCTTTAAAAAATGATTGGTTTATGTTGATTCACGTTTTCTTTTCTCTTTTTTTTTTAAAAAAAAAGTTACTGAATTACAATTTTAATTCTCTTGTAAAAATAAATATTCCATTAATATTCCCTTGAATAATTCTTATATAGATAAAAAGAAAAATTAAGTTTTTATTTAGCCCTAAATATTTATGAACAAAAGTTTATATGCATATGTTTTTTGTTTATGTTATTGTTGAAAAAATGAAACGGATTGAAAAATTGATAAGATTTGCTGGTATAGTTTTGGCAAGGTTCTTTAATTCTTCAATATTGCATTTTCATCAATATCAAATTATTCTCTTTTTTTTTTTTTTGTTTTATTTGTTTGCTGTATAAACAAAAATAATTTAAAAATGAATTGAACTATAAATTATGAATTGAAATATCTAGATTTATCATTTATAGGTGGTTACTTTCATGTAATATCAACGATACATCGCTTATTTATGTATTAAATAATCGTTGTTGGATACATTTTCTTTTTTTCTCATAATTCCATTTCAAGTATTTTCTCTAAATGATGCTTATTAGTGGTACAAAACTTTTGCACTTTTGCATTGTTTACATTATATGTTTATATTCTACGTCAACATTCACATTCATGTTTACGTTTTCGTTCACTTCATTCATTTTTTTCATCTTTTATTTTAATGATTTCAGAGGAATAGTAATGAAGTCCTTTTTTTAACAGTGTACATTAGTACTGGATCGTTGTCACATTTATTTGTAATTTAATTTTACTGGGAATCTTACATTTACGGTCGAAATTTTATCATGTGATTAATAATTCGAGTCATTTTAAAATCATTTCTATATGTGTGTTTCATTTATTCATTATGATAAAATAAATACAAACTTCTTAATTGCCTTAATTAGAATATCTAATTTGTTAAGCGCATGACTTTTTTTTTCCTTTTTCAAATGTACTAAGCAAATTTATCATAAATTAATTTGATAAACATTCTTCTTGGCAAAAAAAAAAAAAAAACTTTCTTATTCATACTATTAATTTGTTGTGCTAAATGAGGAAATAAGAAGTAAGTGTTATTTTGTGTTCAATTCATTTAATTGTGAACTTTGGTTGTAATGAAGTTATTTGCACATTTCTTTCATAAACGATATTTAATTAACTTTTAATGTATGATTTTTTTTTTTTTTTTTTGAACATCTTTCTTTTTCTTATTCATAACTGTATATTACCTTCGTGAAAGAAAACAAATGCTAAAAATAAGTGATTATAAGTGATAAAATTGAAAAAGGAAATCGTTTCCACTCTTCTAATTATTATTTGTTAGCCTTTACTAAATCAAACATTTTATTGCCATCATTACTTAAATACAGCTGCAGTCATTATATTGTTTTGAAAATACGACTAGCTTTATTTTCATCTTTAAAAAAAATTCATCTTTTATAATGCAATGAGTATAGTATTAATTTTTAATTGCAAAAAATATGCAGTTGTACAATCAATTAGTTAATGAATGTTTAATTAATATAGTAATATCGATGTTCGTTGGATAAATTTGTTTGTTTATTTGTTTAATAATTGATAATTTATAGAATATTTTTAATAATTTCAATTTCTATCTTTAAAATGCTATTCTCTCTCCCTTTCTGTCTTCCTCTCTCTTTTCTCCTTTCTCTTTTTCTAGCGCATTTAATGAATTTTTCATTTGCTATTATAAATGAGAAATGTTATCAAGCCATGCTTTTTTTTTTTTTTCAATGAATGGTTAAGAATATTTGAGTTTTACAATAAATCGTTTGCATAATTTGTTGGATTGAGATGAAATTTGGTAAAGAGAAGAGAGATATTTCTGAAGATGATTAAAGTAGGATGTTAAAGATTTATAATGGAATTTTTAATTTACTAAGATATGATATCAAATTTAAGATTGGTATTTTGTGATAATTTGTAAGGACTGTGATGGAATTTTAATTTATTGAGTTACAATATTAATTCAAGATTGATATGATTGTGTGATAATTCATCGAACAATGATGAAAATAAACATCTCTCTCTCTCTCTCTCTCTCTACGTATCCGTGTGTATATGTGTATATTTTGTTTTTTATATAAACAAATTTGTATGTTCTCTGAAGAGAATGAAAGATAGATTAGATCATCTTTCATTTGTTTTTGTCTTTTCTTTCTTTTTTTTTTTTTTTTCAAGAAAATTTATAGTTTTGTGAGAAATATTTCAAGATTATGATAATGGATTAGAAATGAAAAAGGAGGATAAAAATGAAGTAAGAAGAGAAGAAATGAGAGTATTCACTAGAATGATTGGGTAGATGTTGGTTTTTGTACTTTCATCAGTTTTATGCATTATTGAATTAGAAAAGAAAAATTAAAAATGAACGATTTGGTGATATTGTTTAAATTTATCGGAAAAGAAGTGTTGAATTTTAGTAATGAAAGTGTTAGTTGGTTAAACTTTTTTTTATTCGATATTAAGTTAAAATGGAATTTCATTAAGCTATTATCAATGTATCGTTTAGCATTTGACATTACTAGATTATTATTGTTTTTATTTATTATGTAAGGTATTTAGACAGTATTATTACTAGCGTTTATTTTAAATTATTGTATTGGCTATTCTTTTTCTCTCAACATAAAGAGTTAGTCTTTGATCTAGAGTAGATGAAATTAGCTTCTTTCATTACAAATAGATAATTAATTTTAATATTTAGCTATTACTTGAGAAGGAAAATTTCAACGCATCTTGACAATCTTTGATCTTTAGCAATAAGAGACATGTAAAGATGTGTCCTTGGCAATCTTCAGTCTGTGGCAATTTCAATTGTTAGTTTTGTCCCATACGAAAAGAAATAAAGAATAATGGAGTTGCTGTTTTAAGCTTACATTATTTAGAATTTTCTCATTCTATTTTGAGAAGGATTTCAGTTTAAAAAAAATTTTTCTCAAAAATAAAAAAGTGAATTAAAAAAAGAACAATTCTAAATTAATGTATATATGTTTTTATTTAGCTAATAATGATATGTTGCTTATTGTAATATTTGATAAAAATATTCAATTTGAAAAGTTAAAAGAAAAATTTTTTGTTTTATTTGAGAAAGAAAGAAAGAATGAAAGATTTAGGAATGTTGATGACAGGAATATATGTTGTTAACAGAAGCATGACATGTGATCCTACCTAGCAGTTGGCGTCCATTTTATCAGTACTTATTGTTTGGTTGCTTCTTCATGTTCGACTATTTTTGCTTGTCATCTTACTTAAACATATCGAATAATTGATAAAAGAACGAATAGAATGACGTAAGATGGAGATGGATGAGTGATACTTTTGAAAAATTGTGTGTATGTGTTTTCGAGAAATTTCTATTGTTGTTAATTGTACTCCTATAATTATTGCTTGAGGATTTTTCATTTGAAAAATTTAATTACGAGGAAAAAAACGAATGTATTTGATGTATTTACGTTGATGAAAAGAAAATGGATTATAGGAGTTAGTAATGATAGGAAAATTTTCAGCTCCCTTTTTTGAAATTTTTTTGTGATCTCAAAACTCTTTTTGAGAGTTTTGTGGGAGATAATCGGGAAAAATTCCTCCAGTCTAAAAATTTCTTTCCTCTATTGAGGAGAGAGAGAGAGAGAGAGGTAGGAAAAAAAAAGCTTGTTAAGGATTTGTTGGATATATATATATGCATATAGTGGTATTATAATAGCTTATTAATCACTTTCTAAATAAGAACATTAATTAAGGAAGGATCAAGCTATTCTGATTAGTGATATTTTAATATAAAAGGAATTAAATCTGGCTTCTAAGTGAGTAGTACAATATTAAGTATTGCAAAATTGAAGTAGGAAATTTTTGAAATTACTAATGATATGATCAGAATTTGTTGATCCAAGAAAGATATAATTTTCACAAAAACAAAAAAATAAAAAAAATAATAAAAGTAAGGAAAAAACCACATCAAGCAGCAAGCAGATGATGATAAATAGTAATAGGTGCATACAATTTTATTATGATTACGGACTAATGCAATACATTGAAATACTATAATAATTACTGCAACTGTCGTAAAATTTTGTAGAAAAGATTCAAATTTTGATTGAACATTCCCGCCTGAAATGTTTTATGAGAACTGGTTTTACACTTCCGTCTTAGTCCTTTTTGTGGGTTATTTAGTTCTCCAAGAAAGATTGATTGCTATTGTAGTTGGTATAAATTGGAATTCTTCCGCTTATTTTGTTCTAATTCTTATTTTCCAGACAAGATTATTGTTCACGTAATGCTGTTTAGGATATACTAGAAAGTTAAATGGACAAATTATATTTGTTAGAAGTAATATATGTAATATTTTCAATTTATTTTTTTCATAATTGAAGCTTGCTGACCATGCCAATTGATAGTGATTACATCAAGGATAATCTACATTCAGTTTTTTAATTTCTATTTAATATTTATATATCAGAGATTAAATCGAAGCTTCTTTTTCTACTTGATTAGGATATGTATTCCGGAGATTTTAGTAAGAATTTTTTTTATTGCTTATTTCTAAATTTTCTTATTATCTAATGTAATAATTTCATACTTGATTAGTTTAGTGCTTTTCTTTCCTTTTTGAATTCTTAATTTTTATGTTTTTTTTTCTGTTTCATTATTATTATTATTATTACAACTAAAACGTTCCACTTCGTAATACTTCATTGCTTCATGATGATAGAAATTTAATAATATGCAAATATTTATTTGTTGATTAGTTGAGGTGATATTTGAAGATTTTAAGTGATTTAATTTATTCTTACATAATCAAGATGGAAGTAGCCTTCTAGCTTCGACATTTTTTAATATCGTAATTGAATTTGGCAGAAATGATTAAAATTTTGAAGATTTATCGAGGCAGAGCAGTGGTGTAAAACTGCTATGCAAATTTTGGCAAATTTTCAAGTTTTATTTTGTTTCATTGATATTTTAGATTCTATCCAGATCGAACAAAAGAAAAAATCGGAAATGGTAGTACATGCGATACATTCTGATTTGCATAAGACAGATATTGAAACATTGAAAGATGAATTGCGTCGGAATACACCGTCTGCACATATATCAAATAATACCACTTTTCAACAGGTATATTTTTGTTTCACATGTAAAAATTTAGTGCTTACAGTGAATTTGCTTAAAAAAATTTAGTTTTTGATTATATATTTTAAAAGAAATTTTAAAATGAAAAAATGAATGAGTTCAGTGTTTCTCATTTAAAACATAATTTATATAATTTTTTTTTCGACTTGTATCCATAATGGAAACTATATAAAGTTAGCCAAAATAAGATAATCATTTTACTAAAATATTTCAGTCAGTGTATCAAAACTAGTTATATTCTAACTTTATATAGTTTCGAGTTATTCCAGTTATTCTAACTTTATATAGAGCTGTTTAATAATTATTGTAATGATTTAGCAATATATGCTTATTTCCTATTTATCATTTGCATATTTAGTCTAAATGGAATCAACATTTAATGCAATTCAAATTTATTTGAAAATTTCATGTTGATTTTGGCTTGCTATATCATTTAAACAAGGAAATTCGAAATGTAAAATTCCACATTTAACTTTTTTTTTTTTTTTAAATTCTTTTATTTAGGTTCCGGATGTCAATCGATCATTGCCATCACCATGTTCACCACCTGATCAGCGTAGGATATCTCAGTCAACATTTGATAATAAGCTATTACCAACTGCTGCACCTGCATATACACCTTCTCCGTTAAATGCTGCAGCAGTAGCAGCAGCAGCAGCAGCTGGAAATTTTCCGGCAGCTCTTGCTGCTGCAGCTGCTGCACAAACTGCAAATCCATTCCTTCTTGCTGCTGCATTAGGATTACAACAGCAGCAGCAGCAACAGCAACAGCAGCAGCAATCACAAAATGCATCGATAGCATTTCCATGGATCAGTAATGCGCAGTCATTTACAGCGATGTTACCTTATCTTCAACATTTACAAGCTCAGGTGCAACAACAAGCACAAGCACAGGTGAAATTTTCAAATGATTCTGAACTAATAATAATTATCATATGTTATTCAATATATTGTTATTATCACCTTCAATCTTTTAAACTTTTAATATATAGGTTTTTCTTTTTTTTTATCAAGGTTTTATCATTTCAGGTTGCATTAGCACAACAAATAGCAGCACAACAAGCTGCAAATTTGCATCAGCAATTCAAAACGGTTGCGGCAGCTGCAGCTGCTGCTGCTGCTCATACTTCATTGATATCCCAACAGCAACAACAACAACAACAACAACAGCAACAACAAGCACAACTACAGTCACATTGGTTGTCTCCTCCGCCATCTGTTCCACCTCAAATTTCAGCTATAAGGCAAACAACAACCTGTCCGTCATCACCATTACTTCCAGCAGGTGCTGAATCAACATCGTCATTATTGGAATTGAATTCACAATCTCATCCTGAACCACAACCACCTTCACCTCCAGCATCATCCAGTTCATCGTTATATAACGATGAAAAACAGCAACAACAACAACAACAGCAACAACTATCACAACAACAACAACAACAACAGCACTTTTTGTTTGATGAAGATTTAATGATTGATTCATTAATGGTGGAACGAAAAGATTTATCTGAAAAAGAAAGTATTGCTGTTGCCGTTTTAGCTGGTATGGCTGCTTGTCAACGATAGACAAAACGGGATTATTTTTCTGCTTCAGTTTCTTTGTTTATCCTTTGTTTTATTTTTTAATCACACATCATATGACATAAATCCAATGACCAAATCATCAATCATTCTAACACATTCAAAGGTTGAAAACTTTATGAATTTTTGCATTGTAATTATTTTTTATCATTGTGAAATTGGAAGTATAATTTTTTTTAATTTTAATTTTTAATCATTTCAAGTTCAAAAAATTTTAAATGATGTTATTGGATTTTAGATCATATTGAAATTCCAGATACTGAGGATTGATTTTTTTTTTTTTTTTTGTTCACTTCTGTAAGAGATATTTTTTAATTGTATTCAGTTAACAAAGTGAAGACTGAAAATTTTTATTCCTCATGTTAGCTTATGTATATAAAATAAGACAAAAAAAAAAAAAAGAACTATGAATGAAAATGACATGATATGTTAATGATGATATGATAGTTATATGTTTTATATATACATATAAAATTTATAACTTTTATTGACTACCTTAGTGTTATTAATTTGATTGTTTTACTGATTGATCTTTAATATCGAGAAACGGTTTCATCATATTTTGCATATATTTTATATTTTTTCTTTTTTTCCTTTTGAATGAATGTTTTATTTGTCAAAATTCTCTTTTCCTTCTTCCTTCTCTTTTTTTTTTTCATTTATTTATAGCATTGAATGCTTGAGAAAAAAAACAAAAAATGGTGCATAAACGGTAACCAATTACCTGTACATATAAAAATAATTGGCCGTTTCATTTTGGTTTTCGGGTTTTATCTTCTTTTTTTTTTTTCCATTTGTCATTTAATTCATTTATTTTGTATGCACATAAGAAGTTACCTATATTAAGAGAATGTTAATGAATAAGATTGAAAGAATTGGAATTAATTGGAAAATTTCAATCAGATTTTCATATGTCTCCATGAATAATAAATTAACAGATTTTAACGAAATTCATTTTGGGTTATGAATGAGTAATACAACTTTCAACAATTGAAAAATTCATATTAGTGAGTTAAATCTAAACAAAAAAAAAAAAAAAAAAAGGAAGCCTGAATAAAAGTTAGAGAGGAGGAGGAAAAATATTCGCGTCATTTTTAACGGGGAAAAAGGGTTTTTTTTGTTAAGGATTTTGAAAAAATTTGCTGGTTCATGAGAATTTAATCATTATGTTGAAGTGTAAAAAAAGAGTGAATTGAAATGAAAGAATGAAAATATAATGCAAGAATTTTCATCAATTTTTTTTTTCTTTTTTTTGTTAAAAATGACAGAAGAAAGAGACATAAGAATTCATTGATTTCTTTTATCCATTGTTTGGTGTTTTCTTTTTTAAGTGTTTTGTATTTTTCATTTCTGTTATTCATGTTTCAAATATGAAAAGGAAAAAAAAGATTTTGTGAATTTATTTGGCGTAATTGATGAACAATTTTTTTTTCTTATCTGACTTTTTACTATTTTGTTATATTCATTCAATACGGTGTTCCAAAATTTTTTCTTTTTTCATCTTATTTTTTTGAATTTTCAATTGTTCAGTTATTTTCTCTTTACTTTTTCAGTTATGTGAAATATAAAAAATTTTTAAATTTTACTCTTCAAATTTGTTTTGTACATATAAACATATACCATACATATATATATATAAAACATACATTGCAAAAAGCATACGAATAATTATGAAATAAAATACAGTTTTGTGATCTCAAAATGTATCTGTATTCTTGAGTGATTTCACGTGTTTTACGTGTGATACGTGGTATTACGATTGATACAATGAATAATGAAAAAAACTGAAGAAAAAAAAAACGATAAAAATGGATGGTTTTAATTTTATGATAAAAATTCTTGGTGGAATTTTCCACCTGTATTATTTCCTTTTTCTTTTTCTTTTGATCCAATTTATGGTAAATTATAATCAAACTTTACAATGAATACTTTTTTTTATGCTTAACATCTTTACTTGATTATAATTGTTCCATTTTAATTTCACTTAATAAAGATGAAAGTTATTTAATTTGCTATTACAGTTGTATTAGGTGTAAGCGTATTAATAGAAAATGATAATGCATTATTGGGATAATAGTATGATAATAATGATAATTTCATAAATAAAAAAGAACAAAACGAGAAAGTCATTTCCACAATTTAAATATCAATTATAATTTATAGTGAATTTATTAAGTAATATTGCTAAAGTTGCTTGAATTTGTAGCTTACTATCATAGCTAAGCTTTGTTTCTTTTCTTTTTCTAGATAATTAGTTTTAAGCTAATTTCGGTATGTGCTATTTAGTTATTATTAAATTTCTCTCATATTCGTTCATTATAATTTGTTAATTCTATAAATGATCGAATGCTTTATGATAATTTAATAATATAAATTTATTAATTGTTATTAATTTTCTTTCAAATTTCATATGATATTTGTATTATTCTGTGAAATTTGATAGATTAAAAGTGAGTTAATTAGAAAACAATTTTTATAATTTAATGATACAAAATGAATTATTTGTTTGCTAATTGATAATGAAAACAATTTTGGGTAGAAATTTTTGAAAAATAATTAAGAAGTGAATTTATCATTCATTTTATCATTTTGAACTATGATTCTGCTGCATTTTCTTTACGAATTATCGCGTGATAGACGTAGTAGGTCACGTCTATTACATAATGAACAGAAGTGACTAAGCGATGTTTTTTTTGCCACATCTTTTATAGGTCATTACGTGATGAACGTATTAGGTTACATTTACTATCACGTGTAGACGAACTGGGTTATTATTTAATGAGCGGCGATATTTTTTGCTATATTTTCTACAAGTTTTTATGTGACGGACGTACTAGGTCACTAGGTCACATCTATAACCAGGAATTGTCACGTTGTACACGTGTTGGGTTACGTCTATTGTGTAACAAGTTCGGAAGTATCGTAACCAATAATTTTTACATTTTTTACAAATCATCACGTTCACATTTTTTTTCATTGAAGTTATCACGCAGAGGTTCTTTTACAAGTCACGTTTCTTTTTCCATTGTCTTTTTTTGCAAATTATCATGATTTTCATTACATGTTTCGCAAATTATTATGTACACGTTGTACACGTAATTGTCAAACGTCTATCATCTACAAAAATGGGATATACCGTAATAGCGATAATTTTTTATAGTATTTTGTGCATTTTGAGAAACGACTAATCATTTATATGGCAACGATAATACCAGGTGAAGCATCAGAAACGGATGATGATAATGATGATAATGATGGTGATAATAATGATTGTAATGATTACAATGAAGTAACATGAGACAAGCTGATAATAGTGAACAAAATGATGAAGAGATGAGGTTAAATATTATTTTGTTTAAATAAAAATTATTAGTTTTTTATTTAGTTTCATTTTCAACAAAAATAAAAAAATAAAAGATAATGTGGAACGATTGTTATATTACTAAATCAACTGTGAAATTATTTTTTAAAATACTATTTCGTAATTCTAGTAAAAAATTTGACGACAAAACTTTAAGAATTTTTGCTACTTCTTTCGTCATATCTAGTTTAACAATAATAATGATAATAATAGTAATAATAATAATAATAATAATAATAATAATAATAATAATAATAATAATAATAATAATAATAATAATAATAATAATAATAATAATAATAATAATAATAATAATAATAATAATAATAATAATAATTATTATTATTATGATAAAAACAGTAATAGTAGTAATAATTGATGATAATGATAATAATGGTAATAGCAATAATAGTAGTAATAATTGATAATAATGATAATAATGGCAATAGTAATAATAATAGTAATAATTCATAATAAAAATAGTAATAATAGCAAAGATAACAATTAATAATAATGATGAATATATTCATTATTATATTGAATTAAACTTTTACATCAAAACAGTAATAATATCACATAATTTATACAAATTTATTTTCTCATTTGAAATATCATCAATTTAAATGACATATATATTCAAATAAAAATAAATAGATCTTTTACTGGTTTAAAACTTTCAGTTTTTAAAATATTTTTGGTGATGCGAAAATTTTTTTTTTTGCTTTCATTTCAATTATAATTTTTTTGTAATTTCGAATGAAAAGACAAATTAAAAAACAAAAAAAAAAAAAATTGTTTACAGAAAATGGAATTTGAATAAAACTCAGCAAAATTTATGGGGTTTACATGTTGATGAAAAATTAGAAGAACGTTGGCGATCATTTGGCTATGATACAGTAAAACTTATTGAACGACAAGCACTTATGCAACGTAAACAATTTGAAAATTTAAAACAAAATTTATCCAATACACAACATGCTTTACAGGTATTGTTTTAATTAGTAATCAGATGATAAGAATGATATGATATGATATGATTAACATTTACTAATGATATTGATATTAAGAAATAATTTCAAAATGATATTTTGCTATTTTTTATGGAAATTTATAAATTATTTCTGAAATAACAAAAAAATTTAGAGTGTATTGCTGATGTGTGAACAGTAAATGAGAATGTTTTATTCTCTGATTAATAGAACTATGATAAATTCATTTATAAAATTTTTTTGTAATTAATTATCAGACTATGTTACTAATTAACTTTTAGAAAATATGAATATTTCTAAAAATTTTTTGAAAGATTTTGCAATTAAAATGTTCTATTTTTTTTTTTTCATTGAATAACTGATATGAAATTATATTTTATTATCAGCAATAAATTTATATTGTCATTTTAAATTGCAAATAAATGAAAAAAATAAATAAAACAAATTCGCATCTTTGATTGCATTTACAAGATTTCTTATATATATATTTTTCTATTTCTTTACAATTCAACTTTATTATCTGGAATTTTTTCAATGTTTTCTAAATCATTTTTTTATATGTGATATATTTGTCTTCTAAATATTATTATCTTTCAATTGTTTAGTATTATTTAATATTACCTGTCTTCTGTTGTTACCTATCTTAATGTTACCTGTCGTTCGATACTTTAATATTATCATACTTTTCGTTTTTTTTTTTTTAGTATTTCGTTTTCAATTATACATTACGTTTTTCTTTTCCTTTGAAATATTTCTAAATGAATTTTACATTTTCAATTGATCATTTGTTATGCATAGCAACCGTTCAATTCCTTCTTGAAACTTTTTTTTTTCTTTAATTTATGATACATCTTTATTATTTTATTTATTACTATTATTATTATCATTATGATTAACTGTTATCATTATAAATATTTTGTCTGAATCATATTTCGTTTCAGTGATCTAATCTAGCACTTATAACATTTTTCTTTTTCTTTTTTAATTTAAAATTTTTCTTTTCTTTCATTTTTAGATATATCACTTTTATGTCTTTCTTAGAACCTTAATTTATTCAATTTCTTTACTTATTTAGACAAAAAAAGGAATGAAGACTATATCATTAATTCTTATTCAAATTACATATTTCATCCTAAATTATCTAAATAAAATTTTATTTCTTTTTTTTCTGTCTTTTTTCCACTCTATTTGAGCTTTATTAAATTACGTAAATTGTTTTTTTTTTTTTTAATCCTTTTCTTTACTTTTTAAAAAATCAAAAACCTTCAGTTTTATTAAATTTAATATATGTATATGATATTTTAGTAAATGAAAAATTTCACTTTTAGTTTTTTTTTTTTTGGATTGAAGATTATGGTTTAATTTATATGGAAATAATAAGATTGAGATATTCGTATGAAATCTAATGGTTTATTAACAGTTGTATTATACTAATAATTAAATATACTTCTTTTTTTTGTAATATTAAAAAGAAATAGAAAAAAAAAAGAAAACGAAAAAAGAGAAAGAACAAAAAGAGATATATATTAATTGAATTTTGTTAGATATTACAACAATTGTTATGAAAAAAGAAATGAAAAATGTAAATATCAAATATTTAATCATATAATGCTTATACCATTTTTACTTTTCTTTTTTTTTAAAAAATGATTTTATTTTTTTAAATTATTTATTTTTTTCATTATAAACTTATTCGTCCATTTAATATTATAAATAATATGCAATCATATTTTCTACATACATACATATATTTATACATATCGATAATACTTTTTCGAAATAAAAAAAATATGGGAAACCAATTTGTTAAAAAAAAAAATTATTGGAAATCAATTTGTTAGTCTCATAAAAGCATTCATTCATTCTACTCATCTATTTTAGTGCAATTTAAAAAAAGTTTCTACTGTTTTTTCTTTATGCTATGCATTCTCTTCTTTTTTTATTTTATTTTTTGTGCTATTCAATTATGAATTGAAATTTGAATATTAATTATATCAATAAAAAAAAATTTTATAATATTTTTCATTTTTTCCTTTTTTTTTTGAGAAAAAAAGTTTATCTTAAACTAAATTTTTGTGTATTTTAACTAATTTAAATTCTTATTTGATACTTATTTTCTTACTTGAGTTTATTTATACTTTTTTATTTTTTTATTTTCTTTTGTATTCATGTAAATAATTTTCACGAATCTTGGCTTTATGTGACAAAATTTCATGAAAGTTTAATTTTCATTTTACTAAAATAATTTACAAGAATCATTTACTATTTATCTTTAAAAAAAATGTGTTGATTACATTACACTACCAAAAAAGAAAGCGACGAGAAAATTTTCATAATTAATAATTACATTTAAAATGGTTCCCTCTTCTCTCTCATCATTTGCCAGTTTAATTGTTTCCTTTTTTTTTTTAAATTCTTTCCAACTATATATCAAATTTTATCATCTAAAATAATAAATGCTAAAATGTGACGAGGACTTATAGCTAATCGATTAAAGCTATGAGAAATTAATTCTTCTACATGAATGAGCTATTTCATTGTTATTTGATATGAAATGATAATAATAATAATAGACAGCAACATCATTATCATTATCGTTATTACTATCATTATCGCTGCCATTATTTTTATCATTTCTACTATTATTGTCATTATCATTATCACTGTCATTATCATTATCATCATTGCTGTCATTGTCATTGTCATTATTGCTGTCACTATCATTGTCGCCATTATTATTGTCACTATCATTATCACTATCATTGTTGCTATCACTATTATCACTTTTCATTATCTTCTTATTTTCACTCATACATTTCGAGCAAATGTTTACATTTTTAGTGATTTTCAGATTTTATTTTTTATTTTTTGTTGTTCTTTCCTCCTCCTTCTCTCTCTTTTCTTTTCTTTCATATTTTATTTTTATCGATTTACTAATTCCTTCATATTTACTTCATCCTTCAGCATCGTTATACTTTCAGATTTATGCGTTATTTTTTATTTTCTATTCTAATTTTATCTTTCTTTCCTCTCTCTCTCTCTCTCTCTCTCTTCCTCCCTCTCTCTTTTTCTTCCATTCTTATAAATATTTTATGAAAAGAAAAGCACTACTTTTATTACAAATAATAATAATAATAATGAATAGAAAGAAGGAGAATAGTAAGAATCCATTTACTTTTCTTCTTATTATTTTTCAACAAATTCATGAAGTAATTTAAATAATATTGAGATGATAAAATGATAATACATTCATTTTTATCTCTTTTTTCATTACTTTTCTCTTTATGATTTTGTAATATTTCTTCGAGATTCTTTGATCAAATTCAATCATCATATAATGAATGCAACAAAATTAAATTTTCGAGAAATCTCAAACAGATAAAATTGATGATGGTGAAATTTGAATTTTAAAAAATCTCAAAATATAATTTTATTGCATTCCACTCTTCAAAATTTCTCAATGTTTAAAATATTCTTGCATTGTTTTTTTTCGTTTTCTTCAAAATTTCTTGAAATTTAACCTTCAATATATTCTATTTGTGATTTCTCGAAATTTGTTCTTATTACATTGATTTTTTTTTTTGAGATTTCTTAAATATTTTAATATTGTGGCATTCTTTTTTCGTTTTCTTCGAGATTTTTCGAAATTTAATTTTGATATATTTATTGCTTTTTGTTGTGATTTTTCAGTAATTCATTTCTTAATGTATTTCTGATGTATTATTGTCTTACTTGTCATTGAAAATTTCACAAAGTACATTTTGTATTTGATTATTTCGATTCATTCATTTCTTTTTCTTTTCTTTTTTTTCAAAAAAAAAAAAAAAAAAAAAAAAAAAGAAACAGAAAATGAAAAAAATTTTTTTTTTTGTAGCATTTTGAAAATGTAAAAATGTTACATAAATTCTCTTTCATACTTTTTTAATTTCATATTTTTTACTATTTATTGAAGTTATAAAAATTTATTCATTTAATAATAGTGATCACTTAAAAAGAGAACAAAACTGATAAAATATATTGAATTATTACTATTGCTAATATTAGAATATTTTATATTAATATAATAGTTTTAACTTAATTGTTTCATATAAAAAAATTTAATTATGAGCTTAATTAGTACATTATTTTGTAAGAAAAAAAAAGTGAAATGATAATTTCAATTTCTTCTTCTTTTTTTTGGTGCAATAACGAAAATAAAAAATGATTAAGCTGCTCTTATTGTTATTGTCGTTACAAATTTTGCTTATCAGTATTGCTTTTTTTTTTTTTCTTCAGTGTAGTTATTTCTTTTTTAAAACATATAATCCTAAAATGATTCATTTTTAGGCTGTTTCTTCAACTTTTCGTCAAACTGCTGAAAATTTGGGTCGTGTTGAGTGGAATTTATCATTGTTACAAGAAGGTGCCAAATTGATACCTAACTTTTCAGTTTTTTTAACTAATAGTAATTGTTCTACCACAAGAAATAAATGAAATATTTAATTTTTGTCATTGTTACACTTTTATTATTATTATTTTCATTGTTTTTTTATTGTTGCTAGTGAAAAAAAAAAACTGTATTTTTCAAATAATTTTAAAAGTTTATTTTTTGAATTATTCGCTCTTTTTTCTTTTTTAAATTTTTCATTGAATATTTTCAACGTGAAAAAAATATATATAAATGAAAAAAAAATTTTTTTTTTCTTTTACTTTAAAAATTTTCTTCTTTTATTTTGTTTTAAAAGTATTTAATAAAAATAATTTCCAGAAATTCTTTTAAAAAAATTTAAGATTTCATACATTTTTCTTTTTCATTTTGCTTTTCTAAAAGTAGTCTTTGTCTTAGCAGCTCTAGAATAAATTTAAAAATGAGAAAAAAGACAACAATCCTTTTTTTTCTTTTTATATTTGAATAGTATATTTGAATATATTTTAAAATGTAAAGTAAAAAAGAAAAGTGTAAGGTTATAATTGAATGTTTTACTTTGAAAAGCTTTACATTATCAATTGAACATTTTATTGCTTCACAATTGATTCATTTTTATTCATTGCTCTTTTATCATTTTAATGAGAAATGTTGTAAAAAAGAATTGATATTTATACTAATAACTGAAACTAAAACATTCATAGCAATTATTTCAAATTTTTCAGTATAAAAATTATTGATTATTATTGTTATTAATCAATTATCTCAAATAAATTTTGAACGAAAATTGAAATTATCATGAAAACATCGAAGAAATGACATTAAAAGTAAGCATGACTTTTGATTATTTGAGATAATAATAATATTAATAATAATAATAATAATAATAATAATAATAATAGTGATAATAATAACAAAAGTGAATGGAAATTTTTCGAAAAGTGATTTTAATTATGGTTTCTGCATCACTCAAATTTCAATTATAGTTATAAAAACATTAAAGTTTTTCCTTTTTATTTATTTATTTCTATTCTATGTTATTAATTAAAGATATGTCATAAATTGGATGGAATTAGTAAAATAAATTTATGACTGATAAATTTTGATATTTAATATTTTACTTTTCGCATTTCTATTCATTTCTTATTTTATTTATTTTTCCTTTTTTTTTTTTTTTTTTGTTTTCTTTGATTAAATTGCTCAATTATTTGATGCTATCTTGCCATGCATTTCATTCATTCATAATGAATTTGTGTTAAATTTTTATTGAAATATTAAATTTCAATTATCATTTTACAATTTAAAAAATTTTAGCATATATGTTGCAATAAACATACTGTTAGAAACTTTTTATTCTTTCCTGAAATTGTTTATTTCTTATCAAGATAGATGGATAAATAGATCGATTGATCGGTGAATAAATAAACCGATTGATCAATAGGTATAGATATAGGTTTAGTATATGTAGAATTACCGTAATAATTTTTAAAAACTTTTTTCTAGCAAAATTAATATAATTCATATAATTTTAATTAAAATTATTTTTAACGATTAATTGTTTTAAATTTTTATTTAGTAAGTGTGTAATATGACATTTAAATAGCTTTTAAATCATTTGCAAAATTTGCGATATTTGAATTTTTTAAATCGGTTTGTAGTCGAAATAAAATGTGAAAAGTAAAGAAAGAAATTGTGAAATTTTTATTCTTAATATTCTTCTTTTTCTTTTTTTTTTTGTTTTCTTTATTTTTATTATTTTCATAATTTTTATTTTAATTTACTTTTCAAATACTAATAATTTCATCTTTGTCTTCTTACACTTCCTAACTACTTTTCATATTATTTATATAATTTTATATGATTGTATTAAAATTTAAATTTATATGATTCTAGCAATCTATGAGAGAAAAAGTTGATTTTTTTTTTAATATTAATTCGATTAAATTCAAGTGAATTTATAAAATTAAATATTGTGAGGTTTTTTTTTTATTATTATAAATTATAAACTATTTTTTTAGTCTTTTCCCACTTCTTTTTTTTTCTTTGCAAATGTAAAAACTATAATTTTACATTTTCATCTATTCTTCTATCAATCATTTTCTTGTCAGTTGTAAATTTTGTGAATTTTAAACTCTCTGAAAAGCTCAAATGGAGGAGAAAAGATGATAAAAGAAAGAGGAAAGAATCCTGCGGGAATATTATCAGATAAAAATTTGATTAATCATATTTGTATGAAAGATTTTTTTTTTCAGATAAATTCTATAAATGTTTAAAAAAAAAATAAAATTAAAGAAAAACTATAAATTATTGTCATAAAATACTTTTGTCATACATACATAACATATATATACTCTTTTCTAATCTTTTTCGATTTTAAACTTATACTTTTCAGTCATTTCCAATTTTAAAATTGAGAAGATAACATCAATAAATTGTAATATTTCCTCTATTTTTCCAATTTTTAAATTTTAAAAAAAAAAATATTGTGCAAGTATTTGTTTAGCTAATTTAGCTAAAATATTTTGAATAACTTTTCATTCACTTTTTTTTTCTTTTTTTACATTAAAATTGAGATAATAGCCATTTAATATGAAATTGTGGAATGTCAATTATTTCAAAATTGTAATTTAATATTTTTTTTTCCCAGTACTTTAAAATGTAGGATGAATTGAACAATAATTATGGTCAATAAAAGTTTTATGCTATTTGATTAAAATTAAAAGTTTTGCACTATTTAATAAATATTTTTTTCTTTGTTTAGGAAAAAAAATTTTTTTTTTTTTTGGTTTGTTAAAAGTTTATATTATTTAATTTCTTAGTATTAATTATATCATTGAAAATAAGTCAAAATTTTTTCAATTTCTATACAATTAGGTAAAGTTATCATTGGCAATAATATGGCCAAAAGCAATTAGCAATTAAGTATTATTAGAAATTAGCTAAGGAAACTCATTAGCATATTGTATAATTAAAGGATTTTATCTAAAAAAGGAAAGAAAAAATTTTTTTTCTTGTCAACTTCTATCACAGAGAGAGAGAGAGAGAGGGAGAGAGAGAGGAAGTGTTTTTTTAATTTAGTAATAAACTATTAATGATTTCTTTTTTTAATTTAAAAGTTAAATAAAAGATTGTATTAATATTTTATTATTCAATTTGATATTTATCACTTTTACATATACATTAAATTTTTAAAACTAACAAATTTTTTTTCATATAGAAATAAAATTTGAATTTTATTACAATGTTATATGAATCAGTTGCAATATAACATGAAAATAAATAAATATTTATTATTCATTTCATTTCTATTACATCACTTTAAATTTATGGTTTATCATTTTAAATTTTAATACAATTTTAAAAAAAAAAAACGAAAACTTTTTTTTCCTCCTTTTAATTATTATTTAATAAATAATTCTGGTATGCTATATATTTCATTCATTTCTAAAATTAATCATTGTGATGTCTAACTTTTTTCTTTGTTCTTTCTTTTTAAATGAAAGTTAATAATTGGAATTATTGAACTTAATAACTGTATTATTAAAATGAATGTGTTATTTATATTTGTAGGTGTATTATTTTTTTTTTTTATTTAAAAAGTAAAATAAGTGTATTATCTAATTTTATTTAATAAATAAGCAAAAATTTTTTTGCTTGAAAATATAATCAGTACAAATATTTTTTTAAAATGAAAAAGTAAAAGGAAGAAAAAAAATAAAGTGACATAATTTTTCCAGTTTTATTACTTTTCTTTTTCTTTTTTTGAATTAAAAATTTATAAAACATTGGGTTTACTTAGAAAATGAAATGTTAAAAAAAAATGAATAAATAAAAAGATTTACAACATCAGAATTTTCAAATGTAATAAATTTTTTGATTAAAAAAGATTTTTTTTTTGGATTAGGTATTGACTTTATTTACCTATTAAATTCTTTTTATTTATTATAATCAAAATTTCAAATGTTTGTTAATTCTATTGTTTTTCTGACTTAGTTAACTTTCTGGAATAGTACTATCCTAAAATTAACATTCATTTCGTTAACATATTTAGTTGATAATAAGTAAGATGTAGTATTACCAAGTAATAAGTATAATAGAGTGTATCAGATAGCAGGTAGTAAATAGAGAATCAAAAATTTCATGTATTTTCCGGATTTCCGGATTTGAAGCACTTTTCGGATTTCTTCATTTCAGACATTACTTATTAATTTTTGTTTTACTGTAAAAGCGTTTCTCTTTTTATAGCTATTGATGAAATAAATTTATAAAATTTGAAAAAGAAATATTTATTTTTTCAGGTTTATATTATCAAATATGTCAGCTAATGATGAACAATCTAATAAAGTTATCACAAATGATAACACTGATAATGATAATAATGATAAAGCTACTACCACCACAGCTACTGCTGCTGCAATTGATCAGTCTATTGATATGCAATTTGGAAGTAAACTTTTTTCCTTCTTTCTTTTTCTCTCTTTCATTCTCTCTCTCTCTTCTTCCCTCTCTTCTAGAAACTTTATAACAAATATAAGAATGAAATTAAAAAAAAAAAAAAAAAGCATAAAAAAAACATAAAAAAAATAAATGAAAAAAAATTGAAGTATAATTGCAAATTTTAGATTATATTTGATAAAGATTATAACCATTAATTTTGAGAATTGCAATTTTAAAATTTTGTTTCAAATATTATTTCTCATTTAATTCTTATTTTAATAATTTATTATGCTATTTTATGAATAAATCGTTTTATCACTGTGAAAAGAAAGTAAATGAAAACTTTTTTTTTAAGTAATTGTTTCTTCTTATAATGGCATTGGAGAATTTCTTTTTTCTGCATATTTGGTTTTTTTTTTTTTGGATATTTTGCTAAAGTAATTGAAAATTTTTCAAAAATTTAAGTTTTAGAATAAAAATAATTTTAATGTATAATTTATACGTCAATTTCAGTAAAACAATAAAAGTCAAATTTGAATAATTAATTTGTAAAACTAACTGATAAGCAATAATTAGGTAAGTTTGTCTCAAATTTGAATAATTATTTTGGAAAACAAAAATTTTTTTTTCT